GACGTCTTCCCTGCGTCTCCCATCATTTTTCAATTGCCAGTCCATCATATTTCTAACACAAATAGCTGTTAGGTGACTCATATTCCTAACAGATATGTTAGCTCATTTGGAGTTTATGAAAAGGACTTTACAAGAGCTACAAGAACAAGAGCTGATTTTCTTGGAGTTGCATAAGTTTACATCATTCTTCTTTGGATGAAACTTGTGATGGTTATGTGTCTTCACTGGAAGTTTTAAACAGAGATGAACTTACATTGACTGGCATAACTGGAAGACTGTTAGAAGAGTCAAGAAGAAGGCAAGATAGAAATCAACTGAGAGAAAGACAACCACAGGAAGAAAAACTGTCTTCAACTGCCTATATTGTTAGGAAATGTTTTTCTTGTGGGGCTAAAGGTCATATAGCTGGATACTGTAAAAAGGGTAAGAAACAGAATGCTGTTAATATACAGAGAGCTTATAAAGATGTTAGTTTAGCCATATCAAGTAGAACTACAACTGTAAACCATGATGTATGGGTAGTTCACAGTGGAGCATTGCAGTGTATAACTAAAAGTAAAGAGAGGTTTGTTAACATGACAAAGAGTAAACAGTATGTATCATTAGCTAATGGATGGAAATTGAGAGCATCTGGAGAAGGTACTGCATATTGTTTATGTATTAATGAACATTTACCAATGTCATATGTACCTAGAATGATATTTAACTTGCTATCTGTAAGAGCAATGGTAAAAGCAGGATTTGTTGTAACTTTTCAGGGGGATAAATGTTTAATTGAAAAACAGAGTAAAAGCCTTACTGCAAGATTGGATAATGGTTTATTTATTATGTAAGGCATCCAGAAAGTATCCATAATATCAATCACTCTTGAGACATTATCTCTCCAATTGATTTATTAGAAACAGATCTGGCATGTCAAAAGCAATTTCCCAAGTGAAAGCTTTTTCACGCATTACACAGAATCCACCTTCTCTCCTCCCTTCTCTCCTCCCACTTCCACACTTCATAAATCACAAGAACCAATTAACTGCAACTGGAAATTCTTAATACGACATACAGAATAACCTTGAACTTTTCAACTCTAACTCTCTAAAAAAGAATGTGGCAGCTGAATTTCAAAGCTGACAGGCGTCCCCCCTTGAAAAGTCTCCTCCTAAAAGAAAAGAAAAAAAAAGATACAGGGGTTAATACATTGTCCTTAACCCCCCTCTCCCCCCTGCCCCCATGAGGACCCTTCTGTTTGTGGGGAAAATCCTCATGGAATTGGTTAACCAACTGATCAGCATGAACTTCCCAACTCTTTACCCAACTAGCATCTGAGAGGGGATATCCTTTCCATAAGACGAAATATTGCAATCGGCCACGGTGTAATCTAGAATTGAGAATTTTTTGAATCTCATAATGTGTTTCCCTATGTACCATTAACAGGTTAGGGGGAGCGATTGACAGTGGTCTTATCATTGATGTAGTAGCTGGTTTTAGTAAACTACAATGGAACACCGGATGAATTTTCCCCAATAGTCGAAGACTTAATTGGACAGTGACCGGATTGATTATCTTTGAAATTGGGAACGGACTCAACAATTTTGGACCCAGCTTCTTACTGGGCAGTTTCAACCTAAGATACTTGGTTGACAAATATACTTTGTCCCCTACTTTAAAAGGCATTGAAAGGGATCTATGTTTATCCGCGTGTTTTTTATAATTTTTTGCAGCTTCGGTCAAAGCTTTTTTTGTATCTTCCCATCCTTTCTTTAATGAGTTCATCCATTCTGTTAGGTAACAGTCAATGTCTGTTCAATTTTAAAAGGTTGAATGGCTCCACTTACCATCGGGTCATCTTCTTTGCTGTCTGCATCTTGAATGATGGGCAATCCTGCTGCCAGAGTTCCCTCCCCTGCAGGTTGTTGGGGGTTAGGGACCTCAGTGGCTTGGCATACATATTTGCTTTTCTCAGGAGGTTTTCTTGGTGCCTTTTTCCCTTTAGGGGGAGCAGGTACTCTCACTTGAGGTACTAGGCTAGTGCTAAGCACTCCAAGGTGCAATGCCCTTGCTGGCCACAACAGAAACACTTTATGGAAGTTGGGGAGGGGGTTGCTGTTTGATGTCCTTCACCTTGGCGTGGAGCTGAGCGCCGTGTGATATGTCTTTTGGGTTGTTTCTCAGCGTTGCTTCTTTGGTGCTGTCTGAGTGTGTTGTCCATTGCTATGGCCATTTAATACCACTCATAGATTCTATCCTTGGGCATCCCACGGCAAAGGCAGATTTTTTTTTTACAATTTTTTTATTTTTCTAAACAAACACAGACAAAACAATACATAAAAACATAAAACCATCTTTCAATTACATACAGTGTGTCAACTGGTTGCAATTCTTTTGTGCTACGTGTCCATAGTCCTCCTTCACAAGTCACATAAATTCTCATATTTTAAACCAATATGGAATATAACTTCCATTGCCACTTCATCTAATAAAAAATACATTCTTATATCATTTTCTCTTAAATTCTATTATTTTTATATTGTAAAGTTATCTATAAAATATATCATTTCCACGCTATTTTTCCTAACCATTAATAAAATAAATCCCATATCTTATAATATTGTTTTTCTTCTTGTTCTCTAATTTCAAATGTCAATTTACTCATTTCAGCACATTACACTATTTTCTTAATAACTTCCTCCTGTGTTGGTATTTTCTCATTTTTCCAATTCTTTGCAAATACAATTTTGTGATGACCTGTCATCTCTCAAAATAACCCAAAACCCAAAATGTTGTGCCCCGATTCCCGAGCCTATTCTGTCAGAGGAAGAGGACCTGGAAGATGAGGAGGAGGAACTGGGAATGCCTTCCTCCCCAGGACCTTCTTCTCTGGCAATGCCTTCCTCCCCAGGACCTTCCTCCCTGATAATGCCTCAGGTTTCATCAGACAACCGAGAGGAACAGCCTGAGATTAATCAGGAGGAAGGCATATCGGAGCAGCCCCTGACAGGGAGTAAAGAGGAAGAGTGTTGGCTTGATCCTAAGCAGCGTCGTAGGGAGAAACGTGAGCAGCAACATAGGAGGCATGGGAGGGTCAGAGAGTGAGCTGAGTCATTGAGCCACACCCCACAGGGGATAAAAGTGGGTGTGTTTTCTCCTGAAACTTTGTACGGGACAAAGTTTAACCTTACTTTCAGATTTTCTTCGTGAATGACTATTTTTGTGGACTGCCTTGTGATTTTCTGTGAGCAAAACTTTATCAGTTCGGACTTGGCAGGCAGGACATGTGGGAAGAAGAGGAAGAACCAGAGGAACAACCAGAATATGAGGTAGAAGAAATCCTAGACTATAGGAAAACAGGCAAAGGCATCCAGTACTTGATTCATTGGAAAGGCTACCCGGTTGCAGATCACTCCTTGGAGAATGCACAGTATGTTCATGCCCCTCATTTAGTTCATCAGTTCCACCAGCGCTTCCCTGAGAAGCCAAGGCCAACCAAGCTACCGGTCACAGTTCCAAACCAAGCCAGCAAAAAGAAGAGGCCACACTGTGAGCAGAACGTGTCTCTTTACTGGAGTCTCAGTTTGGCACATGGTGAACAATACAAATAAAAGGGTTTCTAGCTGTCGGGCTCCGAGTTCACCCAGAGCTCGTCAGCTCTGAATGTGCTTTGCAGCAAGTCAGCTGGCCATGTCACCTTATCTCTGCTGCTGTTGGATCTGTATTTCTGCTTCTGTGCTGGCCTATGGCTTTGGAATGACTCAGCAGAGCTGAGGATGGATTCTGCAACAACTGCAGGGCTCCAGGATGGATTCTGCAACAACTGTGGGGCTGCTGAAACTGGCTCTTTATTGATGTGGTGCATTTTGTTAAAGTTGGTTGGGGCACATATAGGTGGCAATTAGGACTTAGGTTAAAACATGGTGAAGGTGGCACCAGGTGGGGATCAGTTAGTGAGGGTCGGAATACGGTAGGGATGTAGACATGTTATAGGGTTAATAGCATTTAGGAATAATGGGTTAGGCGTGGCCAGAATTAGAACTGCGTACAGGCCTGGGCGTGGTGGGATGTGTCTCATGATAATGGTGTTAAAAGGAAAGGGAGCAAACTCAAACCCAACTCTAACCTTGCCTTGCTTTTAGTCATTCTTGCCTGATTAGAGTATTTGTTGTTTGATGCTACATTGAATAAACCATCATTGTCCTAAAGAGGAGCTGGAGTTTGGCTTCATTTAAAGACAAATCTTCAATACTCAAGGACTGGTTGAGAGAAGGTTAGAGCTCACAAACATATTTTTGTTCTATAACTTGTTGGTGGGAGAGCGATATGGCGGAAGGAATAGACCATGTTCTGCCCACTAAGGTGATAGAGGAACAGGGGGATGTGGTTGAGGGATCCAGTTTGGAAACAGAAACCCCTGTGCAACCTGTTGTACATCCAAAGTCACGGAAGTCTGTAAGGCTGAGTGAACCCTTGGAGCAGGTGGACATTAAAACAACTGATTGGAAGATGCAGAGGAGTGCAAACCCTCTTGGGACCATGGACAGTTGGAGAGTGCGACAGTGGCCGTGTATGGATGTTAGTGGCTGGATGGTTCCAGGAAGTACCACTTTGGACATATTAAGGGCACAATTTGGTGAGGTATCATTACAGGACCAGTCTAGTTGGTATGGAAAAGAGAAGTATGCTGGTCCCTCTGGATCTTCAGTAGTATCTTGGGGCTCTTTATGGAGTTCCAGCCCAATGGGCATTCCTAGGGGTCAAGAGCGTTATGAACCACCATCTGGACACGTCCTAGAGACTATGGGGCTGGTTGTATCCCAGAGATATGGAGCTTCGGGATTGCCTGGAAGAAGTCAATCAGATATTAACAGTACCCCACTTGATCGGGGTGGAGCAGGGCATGGAGATGAGAGGCAAGATCCCAGCAGGTCTGGGGTTGGCTTAGCCCCTTGGGGACCACAACAGAATAGCTGGGGACCTCCTCAGTTACAGGCCACATTTGATGGAGCAGCAGATAGGGTGATGGTTTTTATGGGCCAAGTAATTAATCACCTTGATTTATATGGTAGCTTATATTCTTCCCATTGGGCCATGATAATGGCCATCACAGGATGATGGAGGGAGGCCGGAGAGTGGGCCACAGATCTGCACAGAGAACGTTCTACGGTATTAGCCGATGTTGGCCTGTTCCTGGAGGCCCTTAGGTCCAGTTTTGAGGATAGTTCTCAAATACAACAGGCCGAGGATGCACTGCTGTCTATAAAACAATGGGGTAGGGCAGCAGTAGAATATGTGCAGGAAATTAGAAGGGCTGCCAGACGCCTACAAAGCTAGCCTGAACGTTTAATTATCCATCTGTTCCAGGAAGGATTGGATAGAGACCTTTGCCAGCCCTGTTTGTATCGAGGTCTTCCACTGAGGATGCAAGACTGGTATACTGTAGCTATTGAACTGAATTCTGGGTTATGTCGGCATAAAGGACAGAGTGAGGTTGAAATAGTCGGAGGGGATTATTGGGAGCTAGAACAACTGCCCCATCAAGGCAGCCTCCTCAAAGAGGTCGAGGGGTGTTTACCTGCTTCCCTTGTAAACAACCCCGACACAGAGCTGCTGAATGACCTATACCTCCTTTGACTGTTGCCAGACCAACACAGAGGTCACCTAACAGAGGGAGTACTCGCTCTAATCTTAAACAAAGTCAGGAACGTTCCAGGGGTGTGATTCAATTGGCGGCAAATATGGAACCAGAGTGCTCCCCTGAAGAAGTGCCACGTATTCCTGTGAAGCCTTTACTTTTAGACCAGGATGAGAAGGAGGCGGTGGATGAATGGTGCATGCCCATCCATCCTTTTGTCATTTTGGTGGTTCTTACTAATATGAGAATAAAACAACAGTTAACACTTGGGGCATTGATTGATTCTGGGTGTACATGGTGTTTGATTACACAGGCAGTGGTGGACAGGTTAGGCCTACAGTTACTGCGATTGAGGAAACCAATACGGTTTGAACAGGTGGATGGTTCCATTTTGGGAGGTTCTCCTGCCACACATAGGACAGAAATGGTGAGGATGGATATGGGACATCATTGGGAAAAAATCTCTTTTGTGGTGGTCAATCATATGACAAAGGCTGTGATTTTGGGGCTATCGTGGCTTGATAAATGGTGTCCCAACTATTTGTTGGGAGGGAGGTTTCTGGAAAATACACTTGGTGATGGGGCCCAACCTGCCAGAAGACAATATAGCAGAGACTATACCACCTAACACAGTGAAGACTTTAGGTGAACAACCAGAGAAACTCGTGTATCCTATAGAATATACCAATCTGGCTGAGGTATTTAATGAACGTGGGAGTGAACAGTTACCACCACACCGCTCTACTGACTGTGTGATTGAGCTACTGCCTGGTATGAAATTACCAAAACCCCAAATGTACTCTATGACCCCTAAAGAATTGGACGAAATGCGTAGGTACATTGACAAAAATCTGGAGAGGGGATTTATTAAACCCGGACGTGCCCATATAGCGGCCCCAGTATTATTCAGAGAGAAAAAGGACGGTGGGCTAAGACTTTGTGTTGATTTCAGGGGTCTTAAAGCGGTGTGTGTAGAACCGCTATATCCTTTACCGTTAATCAAAGACCTGTTAGCTATGTTGTCAAAGGGACGGATATTTACAAAACTAGACTTAAGAGAGGCGTACTATCGAGTACGTATATGTGAAGGAGACGAGTGGAAAACAACATTCAATTGGTATTTATCCAGCTTATTAATGAAATTTTGCATGACCGTTTATATAAGGGAGTCTTAGTATATTTAGATGATATCCTAATCTATTCCAATGATATGAGTACTCATATATGACTCGTGCAACAAGTTTTTAAAAAGTTGTTACAGGCACAGTTATATGTCAAACTGTCTACATGTGAGTTCCACTGTAATCAGATTATTTAGGATACAGGATTTCTGGTAAAGGGATAGAAATGGACCCTCACAAAGTCAAATCAGTAATAGAATGGCAAACCCCAACTACTCGGAAGCAATTACAGAGTTTTTTAGGTTTTGCTAATTTCTATCGCCAATTTATTCCATCATTTCCAACTAGCGCATTACCACTGACGGAACTCTTAAAAGCAAAACAATTACCACAGACCAAACGTAAACCAGGGAGTCCCATTGAGTGGTCAGAGAAATGCCAACAAGCTTTTGAGGATTTAAAACAATTATTCACCCAGGAACTGGTATTGAAACACCCCAATCCTGATCTGCTTTTTGTGGTTCAAGCTGACGCTAGTAACGTAGCAGGAGAAGCTGTGCTATTGCAACACAGTGAAAAGGGGTTACTGCAGCCGTGTGCTCATACATCTAAAAAATTCAGTTCTACTGAACAAAATTGGGCTATATGGGAGAAGGAGGCATTTGCAGTTTGTTGGGTTTTGCAACCTGGAGGAATGTGTTAGAGGGAGCCCAAGTCCCTTTTGAAGTGTAGACTGACCACAGAAATCTTGAGGCACTACAGTCGCCACGGAAATTGTCCCCTAAACAGGTACGTTGGGCGTTATATTTCCATCATTTTAATTTTATATTGCGATATGTCCCTGCAGGGAAAAACTTTATGGCAGATGCACTTTCCCACTTGCCGCAATATAATAGTAGGAGAAGTGAGGTGGTACAACCTCTCATTCCAACACAAGGTTCCATATGCTCCTTACGGTCCCAATTGGCAACGGATTTATGTGAAGCAATATGGCATGATCGATGGTTGAAAGAGAATCCTACGTTGTGTGAAATTCGAGATGGCATGGCATGGAAGGGCACAAAATTGTATATACCAAAAATACTACGACCCAGGGTCTTGAAACAGTGTCATGACGCTAAACCGGCTGGTCACTATGGGTTTTTAAAAACATCACATCTAGTGAAACGTCAATTTTGGTGGCCCTCTATGAGGACAGATATAGAGGACTATATTAAAGGATATCATGTTTGTGCAACAACAAAAACCAGACCAGGAAAACCGTTAGGATTACTACAACCAATATCGGATCCTCATTGTCCATGGCAGGATACCGGTATGGATTTTATTGTGGACTTACCTAATAGCCGGGGTTATACTGTTATTTGGACCGTAATAGACCTTTTCTCCAAGCAGGCACATTTTATACCCTGTACTGGTCTTCCGTCAGCACATAAATTCACCGGTCTATTCATTAAACATGTTTATCGGTTACATGGTGTGCCACAATGGATTATATCTGATGGGGGGTACAGTTCACGGCCTGATTTTGGAGAGAATTCTTACAGATTATAGGGTCATCGCAAGGATTGAGTATGGCATACCATCCTAGTTCTAATGGGGCTTCAGAAAGAGCCAATGCGGTGATAGAACGCTACTTATGTTGTTATGTGTCGTATCAGCAGACAGACTGGGCTACATTAATACCTTTTGCTGAAGTAGCATATAATAACGCAGTACATAGCAGCACAGATCAGAAAGAAAGAGAGAGAAAGAAACAAAAGAAAGAAAAAGAAATAGGAAGGTAGAGAAAGAGAGAAAATTCTGTGCTATTATTTTTAATTGTTCCATTATTTATCATGTGTTAATATTTTACACTGTCCCTACACCTAGAGTGCTTTTATTGCCTTTTTTGCCCAGGGCTACCACATATTTTTCAGGGATTTACATGCATTCAATGTCTAGTCCAGAGCATAAATATGTGTGTGTTTACTTTGTACATCAGGTTGCATAAGTCCAGCTTAATATGCTCTTCCTAGTATGTGATGTTTTGTATTGAAAGGAATAGTAATAATAAATAAAGAAGCATGTGAGCCATTTCCTCCTTTCAGTGGTCCATGAAAATACATCTGTAGTACATAGATAATAATGTCAAAAAAGGTGAACAACATTTTTACAAAATTATACTTTGAGGTTGGGTGTGACAAGGAATAGCTGGGAGGGGAGGGGCCAGGCGAGGCACCCTTTGATGTGAGTGACATTGAGTTGGCCATGCCCACCCAGTCCTATGACCACCAAGCCATGCCCACCCAGTCACATAACCACCAAGCCACACCCACCAACTAAGCCACGCCCACAGAACTGGTAGTAAAAAAAATTGAATCCCACCACTGCTTTCAATTCTGTTAAACACACATGTACTGTATTTATGCTCTGGACCAGGGGTCCCGAAACTTGGCAACTTTAAGACTTGTGGACTTCAACTCTCAGAATTCTCCTGCCAGCTATGCTTAGTCCACAAGTCTTAAAGTTGCCAAGTTTGGAGACCTCTGCTCTGGACTATAGACATTGAATACATGTAAACCCTGAAAAATACGTGGTAGCCCTAGGCAAAAGAAAGGGAGTGAAATCACTCTAGGTGTAGGGACAGTGTAAAATATTAACACATGATAAATAACGGAACAATTAAAAATAATAGCACAGAGTTTTCTCTGTCTCTCTCTCTCTCCCTTCCTATTTCTTTCTTTCTTTCTTTCTTTCTTTCTTTCTTTCTTTCTTTCTTT